AGTGGAGTCAGTCCAAGCCCTCGATAACCCAATGATTAAATTCCATTGAAGCCGACATTCTCTCTAATAAAGCCGATTCCTTTGAATCAAATGCGATTGTTTACGTCTTACTGACAGCGAAATGCACATTTGACAAGATACTTAACAATGGTGAAAGAATAGTAAAATCGAATTCGATCCTATTCACTAGCTAACAGAAATCATATTTTTCTCTGCCATTCCCTGGCTGATTTACACCTTCAATCCACAATGACAATGACAACAATCTGTTACTTGCGGCTTCTCCCTTCACTACTCAGCTTCATCGCATAGGTTTTTATCTTTATTTTATCATTGCTCAACTCGTCGCATCTTTTCACAAACTGGTTATATTTGTGCGAGTTACAGTTATCCATGATCCCACAAGCGATGAAAATTCTGTACCGGGTGTTCCATGAGGTATTAAGTAGAGGTCGGTAAAATATGCTACCCACGATGGTCTTAACACTGAATGTCGAATAAGGCAAAGGTTCAGTGGCACCGCGGATGCCACTTTGCAGTATATTCCCCGTATGTGCGTTACCACGAAAGATAATGTAAACGAGCTACCTACCATAAAATTGGATAGCAATGACTTTTTGTCTACTCTGAACTGAGCTTGGTGGTGGTGTAGATAGTTTACATTATTACTCAACTTCTCCGTAGTCACTGGCGTCTTCCAGATTATAATCATTCCGCTCTGAACTAAAAAGTAGTGCATTTTTCACGGATACCTGTCGGTTTTTATTTTAGCGGATTAAGACGTTTGATTTGTTCGCACGATTACCGAAAACTCAAACTTCATTCAAACCAAATCTGTTTTGTCATCTTTCGTTTAGTCAATCTTGCAGTGATTATTAACTGTGAGATGGTTATAACGAACAGCTAAAGGTCGAAACAGAACGGTCAGCTGTCCGCACCAGATACACAGATGATTCAGTGTGTGAATTGACATGTGTTTTGATCACCCAACGCCATCTGACACGGTTTAATCGAATAAAAGGACAAATCAATGGCAGCTGAATTTTCTTCTCAACAATGTGTTTCCAGTCTAGTGAATCACCGGGTATGGCACCAGCAGATCATTAGATATTTTGTCATATCAGTTAGAACAGTGGAAACTTCGCTGTTACCATGATCACAAGAATGATTTCCCTATGTAACACCTATTACATTCTCCTCATTTCCTCATTGACTGTCTTTTTCTCACATTTTCACACTTGTTTTATTCATTCTTGTCTAACATTTCTCATATCGTGTCCACTTCACACATGTTACCTGGCTTTGCCCTATCCATTTATCCTGATCCGATAGTTTGTTGTCCACTGAACATTTTGCACACACATTCATTCACTAACAGCTTAAGCGAATAAAGAGCGGTTTGGCTGACGACGGATGGGCATACGCAATACGTACCCTAGACAGCGAAACCTACCAGTCTGAATTAAATGAACTAGTAGGTTTATCCCCGATATACACCCAAACACATGACGGCTTACCTCCAGAATACTCGTTTGCTCCATGTCGCTCAGGCTAAACTACGTAAACACCGATAATCGAAATACGTGTACGAAAAAATGGAATCGCGAACTAGGGTACTCTTGACGAACGCCGTTGCTGGTGACGAACCGCCCAATCGGTTCGTTGTAGTCCTTTACTCAACCTGAGGTGAATATAGCGACCTCAGTAAGTTAGCGTACTTCTGGGGCATTCCTTTAGGAAGACGGGAATCCATCTGAGCTTCGCCATAAACTTAGTCGAATGCTCATTTGAGGTCAGTGCTATTCGATTACAATCAAAAATGCTCGTCTAATACCAGAAGCCACGAGCTTAATGTATAATAAATAGAAGAGAAAACATAATAAAACGACGTGCTTTTTTAGTCGTTTCTGTCTTTACTCACATACCTCTGGTCTGATTAGAGTCTATGATAAACTAAGAAGGCCGTTCGTCACCGGCAGCGGCATCCATCAAGGTTGCCCTCTTTCGCCGTTCCTGGTAAATTTCGTCGTAGACCGCTGTACGACTGATGTTACTGCGCTTTTGCCATATGACTTGCGTTTTATGAAGCGCAAATAAACTACGGCGAAAGTTTCCGAAAAGCTGTTTTTCTGTAATTTTTAGTTAGTGGATGGATCAGGCCTTCCTTTCAAAACATGCATTTAGTGTAAAGAGACCTCAGCAAGTTAAAGTATTTATGTGAAATACAGCTAATTCTTTCACTGTATCCTTGTACCATTGTTAAGTATCTTGTCAAGCGTGCGTTTCAATGTTAGAAATGCGTAGGAAGTGGCATTGGACTCAAAGGAATCCGTGTTGGTTGAGCATATCACTGGCCCAATGAAGTTTACTCATTAGGATACTGAGGGCTTAGACTGAATACATTCATGCAACNTGACCCAACTGGCTAACTGAAGTGAAGTACAATGGTTAAAATCAAAATAAAGCTTCGAATACTGAAAATTGCGTTACTCGAAGGCGGTAACTCCGTAGTGTTTCTGCAATGGTTGCAAACGCTAGTAGATCAA